ATATGGAGCACCCCTTGTGTGTAAATATATGTAAGTATATATATATATATACGTATTTATTACGAAAGCCAGCCTTCGTAGAAGGCGCTAGCGGAGTTGTGTTTGGCGAACGAAGTGAGTAGTTAGGGGGTCTGGGGGGGGTGGCCCGAGAAAGGTATACGTTAACTCGGCACATGCTGGGGGAGGAGGGTGCTTCGAGGGAAGGTTTTTTGAGGTTGTGTTGGAGGTGATTTTTGAGGGGTGGTGATGCAAGAAATGCCAAATGCATCATTTGCATCATCTGAATGGAAAGGTGTAGTTGGCACCTTGCAAGGTATAGAGACCTAGGGTAGCCATAGTGCAGCTACTAGGTATAGTACTTCAAGTTCCCTTTCCGTCAACCGCTTGAGAACCTCTACACACGCACAGCAATCCACAGCTTTGAAGTCTCATTCGTGCTTTGAACTTGTATAGGTGTGTAAGAGGTATGCAACAACACAGTATTTATACGGACCCAGGGTAGCTACAAGTAGCTACAGTTCTGTTCCCGGGTATGGCGCGCATGAGGCTTCAAAGCTGTGGTTTTCAAGCTAAATTCAAGGTGGCCTGAGACCAGGGTTTGCTGCCCTAAAACACTCTGTTCAGGCCACCTTGAAAATAAAGGTGTAGTTGGCAGGTATAGACACCCAGGGTAGCTATGTAGCTGTGGTTTTCAAGCTAAATTCAAGGTGGCCTGAGACCACGGTTTGCTGCCCTAAAACACTCTGTTCAGGCCACCTTGAAAATAAAGGTCTTGTAGCTACAATTCTGTTCCCAGGTATGGCGCGCATGAGGCTTCAAAGCTGTGGTTTTCAAGCTAAGTTCAAGGTGGCCTGAGACCAGGGTTTGCTGCCCTAAAACACTCTGTGCAGGCCACCTTGAAAATAAAGGTGTAGTTGGCACCTTGCTTGCAGCTACCAGGTATAGTACTTCAAGTTCCCTTTCCGTCAACCGCTCGATAGCCTCTACACACGCGCAGCAATCCACAGCTTTGAAGTCTCATTCGTGCTTTGAACTTGTGTGGGTGTGTAAGAGGTTTGGCAACATAGTATTTGTACGGACCCAGGCTAGCTTCAGAGCAACATGCAAACGACTATAGGATTAAAACTAAACTAAATAAGCCACCTGCCTGACCTTAGTTTTGGGCACGTTCAAGGGCTGGATTCAATCTTGTGGGCATGCTTCTGCTTGCACCAGAGTGGTCGACTGTGGACACCTGAAGGGGACTCAGGTGAGGATTTGGAAGGTCAGTCAAGGGTCCATATGCAATATGTTTCCATAATCCAACCCTTAGGGTTTATAGGCGGTATGTCTAGGTGCACACTCCCCGAAATAAGCATAGAAGTGGATGGCATAGCCCCAACAGGTGGTTTTCCACTTCTATGATTAGTTCAATCGATGTACACAGTGTACCCCTTGGACTTTTTGGTATCTCCATTGCTCACTGGCCATTTCTGAAGGTCTATCACACTTGTGGGTGCAATGATGAACCGGTGATGTCAATTTTCGAGCACCCAGCAATAGTTGGTGAAAACCAGACCATAGGTAGGGTCATGCTCAACCTTAGTGGATCAGATCCAGTGTCAACCTGTAAAGCAAGACCCGTTCATGTGGCCATGCACAGTGAGACCTCCCATTCCATGTCCAGACACCAAATGATGTCAATGTGGATAGATTTGGCTACGGCCTAAAACATCGGATTCCATCCAAACCCCCCCCTGTGCAGAGGAAATTTACGGGCAAAATGACACCGAATCCCTCAATTGCCAGGAAGCGCAGGTTTTTGTTTTGACATGGTTACCCCTGTGTGGGCAGAACAAGACATGAAGCAGATTTGACACGCGGCCGCAAGCAGCTGCGCGAGCTCATTTGCTTGCTTCGACGCGCAGTTGTCGAGAAAGGGAAGCGCTGGCTTTCGTTTTGCAGCTTCTCAGGTGTATACTGCTTGGACCCCTCAATCTACCCCATGCCATACGGTGTTTGAGTAGTTTGTTTCTTGCTTTTTCAACCACTGTTTATTGGAACTGACCAGCTGCTGGTCGCTGGTCCCATCCGCTCCTGAAGGATGCTATCTAGACCTGTAGACCGATAGCATCCATATGACTGAGGACTGGAAGAGTTGCAGAATGTTGCATTACCCTCTTTATAAAGGGGATTGGACACTCTTTTATGTAGGTGCCAGGAGGGTCCTACCTTCTGAGAAGGCAGTAGATCCTTACGGGATCAGAACACCCCGTTGAAATGACCCTTAGCTTGGTCAACTCTTCCGGTGGACCGTCCTCAGGAGTTTATGCTTTGTCTCGTGGGCGCCGCTTGACTCAGATTGATCCAATCCATCCAAGCCTTGGCAATCCATCCAAGGAAGTCGCCAACCAGTCTCACTTCCGCTTGACTTCAGACTTCCACCTTCCAGTCTTCCACCAGTCTGCAACACCGAGGTTCCAAAAAAGCTTCAGAGGTAGGCTGATCATCCCGGTCCGAGATTAGGTCCAAAATGGAAAAAAGAACACGTGGAAGGGCAGTTGGACAACACAGAATCCACAGGAACTTTTAGCTTCTTGAGGGGTTGAAGCTGTTGAAGCCTTCAATTCTGATGATATGTGATTTTTCATTGAATCGCCTAAACCATCTAAACCATTCACAAGTCAGTGGAATTCACCAGTGATTTGTGTTTCCCGATGGCTGTCTCAAGTTGCAAATATGTCAAGGACACAAAGCCAGTTCACTTTCCAGCTTCTTATCCCAGACACGATCAGACACGCCATGTATGGAATATAGTTATAGTTATGTATATAGGTCATAAATGGGGTACATGTATGTAACTATTCATGGAGTGTTTGGGTATGGATCTCCATCGGAGACCCCTTGGAAGGTCCAGGTATACATCTTTATGTTTTCTGCTTAAGTCCATGACTTTTTTTGGTGTCCTGACCAGTGACACTTTACGAGCCTATATAAGTGACCTAGTTCGGTCACTTGGAAGAACCAGGTACACTCACGAACACATCACATGGAAGTGGAAGGAACCTTTGCATCCGTCTAATTCGGACTCTAGTCTTCCCAATGCTGATGAGCACAGGGAAGTGGAAGAAGAACCTTTCTCTAGAGGAAAGTCGTCTTCCCAAAAAACATGCCATTCACTTCCATGTGATCTTCAGTGTACCGGAGAAGATCTTGCAAACCGGAGTCGTCCCCAAATGTACGGTGTTTACCAGTCTCCAGTTTGCAGGAAGATGTGGTCTAGAAGACCGAAACTCCCCAAGCGGGGATCCCCTACCTCCGTTTCGGTGAAGCTGGTTGGGGTAGGTGCCCGGTTGGCTTCTGAGGATGTGGTTGTAGCCCGGAAGATGCATCAGGTATCCCTACCTCAAGGGCCCATGGTAGGTACCCGACATACGGAGGGTCACCGGTGATCGGTCCGTCACCGGTCACCAGTCCGTCACGGGCCGCCCGCTGGCCAGGGCCAGCACCCATCAGCAGCGCACGGTGCCATATGGTGCTGATTCGGGGGCGCAATGCATGGTTCACTTCTCTCTGAAAAGGAACCACTTGAAACTCATTTCAAGGTTGCAGTGCAAGATCTTTTCAATTTCTTTCGACCAGGATCTTTAGACAAGTGTCCCGGACAAGGATGGCCCGCAGGGGCTCAGCCTGCTTGGCCTACCGACCTTTGCTAGGCCATTTGTGCATTGATCGTAGCGCCGGCCTTCCAATTCTACAACACCATGGACAACCATCCTGATCGATGCATGTTGCCACACTTTCTGTGGACCTTTGCGCAGACATGTGGAACTGTGGGATGCGTCTCGGACCGTGCCAAAAAGCTGCACTCTTCTTGGACCCTCCGTGGAACTACCTCAGAAAATATCAGAAAATGAGACCCCAAACATGGTATTTAATTTGTTCTGGATCTGGATCATGTCCCGCGTTAGGGGTATATGATTATGGTATATGCAGCTGGCAGTGCGGATTGTCGACGCTTCCAGCGGTTTCGAGGGCTTTAGTAGAAGATTCAATGAAGACTCATAAGATTCCTTTTATAGATGCCGTAAGATTTCAGAATTATTATGACCCACAGCTGTCACAAGGCAGCGTCCTTAAACCTAACCAGACAGAGATTCGATGTTCGATGCTTGCTGGTTGACCTGTTGTTGTTTCTCGGTTTCACCAGATCGACTTGCTGGTTGGCTTACAAAGACCCATATAATACTGACGTACCATCCAGTATTTCAGTATATTGCAAGTATATTTACATGTTTGGTGGATCTTTGTCTTTTGCTTTGATGCTTCACATGCCTAAAAGGCATTGGGTCTGGCTACGTTCATCGGACCTCCGGTGCCCGGTTCCCGGTTTCCGTTGTTACAGTAAGGTGTTTCTAAGTCGTCACATGCGTCAGTCTGTGGATGTTTGTGGTGATTTGTGCTATGTTTTTTGGGTGTCGGTGTGGATGAATTTATAGAGAGTTTCGTGGTTCTTCAAACACTAATTGGCTGTTGATATCAGTTATTTCTTTGATTCTTTCGGCAGAGGTGGTTCTTCCAGTTTCAGCCCAGGTTCGTAGAGTTTGCCCACTTGTGGCAAGGCCAGGAGGTCACTAGGCCTTCCTCCTCCCACTGCCAGCGGCTGGTTTCTAAGCAACATGTGTGGTTGCCGGAATGTGCTAGACAGAATGCCGGTGCGGAAAAGATTGCATACGCATAGGCTGCATAGGGCAGCAATGTGTAGGATGAATCTGACACAAAGAATTGAGCCACTGCCAGACACTGGCCAAACAATTTTGATTGCTTATAGTTGGTTCAGTAAAGTCACTGAATCCTCAAGCAAAACGGGTCACAATTTGAAGATGCACATCACACCCCCGCGAGGTTGATACATTCCGCTCGCCCCCCCCTTGTCACTAGGCTTCGTCATCTTTGGCCTGATCGGACAAGTCTATTCACTCCTCTTGGAGAGCGGCCAAAGCCTCTCTGTTGCAACCAGGGTCAAAGCGAAAAAGCTCGGTTTGACATTGGTCAAACCTGAAGCCCCTTCGGTAGGTTGACCTCCGAGGGAGTCTATGACAATGTCTATATTATTCATTTTTGGTGGGTTCTGATCAGGCCTTTTGACCCCCGAAAGTAAGAAGCTTTTTCAGGGTCCATGGACCCTCCGTTTCTGGGATGTCTCCTTCGCTCCTTTCGTATTGGAAGTACGTAATACGCACTAACCCATCGGAAGAGGAGGTACCGTAATCCTAAATGAGTTAAGTCACCACTGGAAGACATTGATATTTTGGAGGTTTGGAGAGTCATATACACTCCCCCGCAGACAGTTAGTTGTCAGTGCCTGGTGTTGTATAATGATGCTAGACCTCCTCGTCGCCTCGTGTAGGCGGCATGAAGGAAATTGGCAGCAAACTGGACTAATAGCATGCCAGGGGATATTGAAGACTCCATGGATTCGGGTCGGGCTTCCTGAGGCTTATTGGCTTCCTTGTTCTTGCCCTTCGGTACCGCCCTCGGAGAGACAGGCATGGTGGTCTTTACTCGAGACTCGGTGCTACAACATGTGCCTTGAGTCTTCAGCTCAGAGCCTACCCACGTTCAAGGGAAACTTGAGTTAGGATGTAGGAAATCCACAAACTTCTGAGAAGGGGTGGGGCTGGCAGACTTGGGTGGGTGCGTCTAACTATCGACCTTTTCGCTTGGGCGGACCTCCTGGACTCCTGGACAGCTGCTTAAATCATTTTAAAAGTCCAATTGACAGCTGAGGGTGGCCCAAAGTGTAAGAACAACAAGAAATGAACAAGACTCCCCAGGGTGAATTGATGTTGGGCAGGAATACAAGAAGCATCAAGGAACAAACAAAAGGAAATCCCATGGAAATCATGGTGATTGCATCCAGAAAGTTTGCGTGCAGGGCGGCAATGGAATAATTATATGTACCCCTTTGAACGCTTGTTTTGGGTGATGTTATGTTTGGATGGCCATTGAATCTTGCTAAAACGGGGTCAGCCTAGGGCCTAGAGTTTCAGTTTTTTTTCAATCAGCTGTATATAGCAATATAGCTCGAACTATGTGTGATGTTGGTTACGTTACTTAACACCAATAGTAGATGTAATAATTGCATACAGTTGTACAATTTATGCTAACTCCTAATAGCCCTCATGCAAGTAACAAATCCCATGGTATACTACCCACGACTCGGAGCCGCGACGCGCGAGACAATGAATCAGAATGATTTGGAATCTCCGAAGCACCCTACAGTATGAGACATGCCTCTAAAAAGATAAAAAGACAAGAAAATCTTTAAAAAATAGGGAAACAACAACAAAACAAAACAAACACACACACACACAATAGATTCAGATCAACAGATGTACTTGCACCTGGAGTCTCAAGCCTGACAGTACCACAGTACCTCAGAAAATGAGTGCAGACTGTTGACTGTCCAATGTCTATATAGGTAGTAATTTTCAATTGTACTTTGTTGCTCCGATTTCTTGGTGCCAATCGCCGCTAAGGAATTGCCTACAACACGCTGGTGCACACTAAGATCCTCATCAAAACATGCTCAGAAAGAAACGCATGGGATAGAAGCTGTGTTGATCCTGAACTGTTGTGCTCACGGCGCTTTGTGAGCGGGACTGACTTACGTGAACTTACATGTTATCCACTTGTACCTTCATCCTGAAGGTTTGCTGAGTGAAAGGGCTACCGAATACTGAATACTGTATCCAACCATTTCCAGGTGTGTCAATTGACGGAGTCCCTTCTTTCCTCGGTGAATCCCAGAAATGTCACAGTGCCCTAATAGTATGTCAGTGGACTTGCGCCTTTTTCAGTGGACTTGCGATATGCCATACCTGAGCATACCGTACCGTACGTGTGTTGATGGACCACTTTTGCGCTCTGGAGCGCATGACGTGGACACCGAGGATCTCCGAAGTGATCGGACTGGACAAGTCACATAAAACATCTTCATCCTGGATTCCTCCTCTTTGGGCAGTTGGTAGCTTGAACATGGGAACAGCACCGTTGTTTCTTCAGGTCATTTCCTATTCTCTAGTCTCCAGGCTCATCTATGACCCTGTCGTGTTCCCACCTCACGAATCCACCGAGCGAGCGGCAACAAAGACGACCTCCGAGCCGGGTTTGCGTCCTTCTTCGTTTCATGCAGGAAAGTGAATGGTCAGGGGCCTTTGGCAGCTTCGGCCCATTCTTTTTTGGGGGGGGCGTCTTTCCGTTTGGACGGGCAAGAAAAGGAGGCACACCAGGATTTCGGGTGGCCCAACCCCGGGGCTGCAGCCATGGACAGAGCTGCAGCCGACGTGTAAAACCTGTTTGGTATTCGGAACAAACCATCCGAGGGGCCATGCCACTGACCAAGGGGACCCCAAAACCACCTTGTAGAAGAACATGGTCTGAACAGCAGGGTCAATTCTTAGGTTCCATGGGATGATCTGCCGGAGTGTCATCAGTTTCTTGTGAGCTTCAAGTTTCAAAGCTCCGGTGAGTCCAGGTTGAGTGTTTCACACGAGGGGTGCAAGGAAGGTCGTTGGAAGATCAGCACGAGGATGGGTGGGCAGAATATGGAATATTTAGAAAGAACAAGCAAACAAACACAAAAAAGGTGTTCTTTGTGAGGAAAGCGGTTATATAGTTTTTTTAGTGTTGGCTTCCCATAGCGCCGTGGTTTTTCACAGAACGGAGAGCTGAGCTCAACAGTGAGCTCAACATTTCCAGATATTCCACCGGAGATTAGTCGACAGGTGGAATTGAACTTGAGAAATCCTTTGCTCTGTGAGATGTGGAACATGGGACCCCGCTGTGGAACATAAGCCAATTGAGCTGATGGGGCTATACTTCATGGAATGGAACATAAAAAGCGTGAGACTGGAACACTCTTCTTTACTAGCGAACCTTGAACTTTCTATGATGAAAATAGATCTGACGAATCTACTGCCTACAGCCCCAGTGTGGTTCAACAAAAATCCCGAAAAAAGCATCTCACACTGTTATCAAGAGTTTTGGCATGGCAACAAGTCCAGATGAATTCAATCTGCTTTTTGGGCCTGCCACAGCTGAGGCGGGAGATCAGCTCTATGTCGCAGCGCCTTGCTTGATCTTCTCTGCGCATGCCTTTGCTGAGGCGACCCGGTCGAGCTTCCGGCTTGAGTTCGGTGCACTCCAAGTGGATCCATCGCTCCTATAGGTTGGAGGCCATCGCAAGGCCTCCAGCGAGTTGATTGCACCTGGAGAGTCCACCATCTTTGGCTTAGGTCGACCCTCCCCAACACTTCCAGCTATATAATTGAACTTTAAACAAGTTTAAAACCCATCCGCACAAACACATGTTATTAGGGTCAAAATCAATGAAAGCGATCAGTGGTCAGTGAGTGTTCGTTTGATCTCAAAATGTGATAACATGTGCTGTTCGTCCCACCAAAAGATAAGACAACACACTGATCTTGAGCCGTCACATTGATATGCATCAATTTTCATATTATATATTACAGTATATAGATTTATATATTATACGGGCACAAGTGGTGGTACAAAAAACGGAGTGCCCTCCCGGAGAGTTTGCATGTGTGAAGTGTTTGGGTGCAAGTGTGCGTTTTACAACGAATTCGGAGAGATGCCTTCAATTAGGGAGATCCCCAATTGCACAAGACTTGGTTCAAATACCCAACCTCTTGATTTGTCGTGGCACACCGACCATGTGGTTAACAAGAAATTTGGGACCCACGAAACTGGATGTTCACGATGAAAACACCAGCCTAGACCTTCCAACGGCTAAAAAATTCTAGTACGATTGGGTTGTTGTATTAGTTTCTGATGCTTCGATGGAAAAAAATGGTAGTTGTCAGAAACGACTGATTTTTGCTTAGCGGTGTGATTTGGGTATGCTCCACAGATTTTGATCCGAGTAGCCATCACCGGCTATCACACATCTATATTTAGGGGATGACTTCCGTATTTATCAACCCATCCATCCATCAGCCATCCCATTGGACGCAGTGGAAGACGCCAGTCATCATCGACCCGGCAAAGACCGACCTTCAAGTTTATTTTTGCGGCCTTCTTGATGACGATAACTGGATTAATGCCCAGCTGCCAAGTGTCTTCATTTACCTTTATCATTATATAATGAACGACTTCGAATTCCGGTGGAATTGCAAGATGCGATGCAGGATATGCACAAATAAATCAAAAAACCGGCTACAGGGTTGCAATAAGTTCATCCTTGGCCAATGGCAGAGATAATTCGATATATATATAAATACATTGATGTCACCACGACAAAGGAGAAATTGATAAAAACATTTGTCTGTTCATGCCCAGGTTGTGACCTCTGAAGACCTACATGGAGTGGAAAGCACTTAATGTTATTCCGAGGTTTCGGAGACAGAATTTGATGAAAACCCACGACCAGTTTTACCCGCAAAACGCCCACAAAAACCCTCAAAACGCCATCAAAAACCTGCAAACGCCCACAAATCCCAGAAAGTAGGTCAAATGGTTTTTTGATGGTTTTTGAGAAACCTCTAAGTTCGTTGAATTGCAACTCTTTTGGGCTGAATGTCATGAGTAGGATTGCCTGCTCCACCTGGACAATCTTTGGTCATAAGCTGTTCGGGAGAAAATGAGTGCCTAGTCATGTTTTCCTACGAGCATGATGTCGACATGAGTTCATTTGTTAGCAACAATGCAATTAGGGTTCCTTTTGCATACTCGTATGTCATTACCGTATCTTGTAGTTTTGCTGCGCTCGAGCCTGCTCGTAATTCTTGGAGCTCTAGGCCAATGTCTGATCGACCAGGGATTAGTGAAAGCCGCTCTTTCTTAGAGGGGTATATCGACTGCTCAAGCGATGGCCAACCCAGCTGCACTTGATTTCGCCACAAGTTTTGTGCAAGCATAAGAGATCATACCTTTGAACTCCCGTGAAACCGACCAATCATCATCGTCATCATCATCATCATCCATCAGTCATCCAGAGGCCACGGGGAGGGCAGTGTGTGACCATGCACGACCACTCTTTGTTTGAATCGTATGTGCTCGACCACTTTTCAACTGATCGTCACAATAAAGTAGTACAAACCACATGGACCAAAATATTTTGAGATTTTGAAGGTCTAGGAGGATTGTTTTTGGATGATGAAGACATGGTGGAGGTCCAGTGGGGGTCTACAAACGAAGCACCTTGTCAGCTGACAGGGTGGTGGCAGTACTTGCACCCACGAAACTGGCAGACCGCCGTGTATGTGCTATTTCCATCTCCTCTCTCCAGGCTTGTCGCTTGACCGCCACCCTGGCGGGTGCCATCAACAACGGCGGCTTCGCGTGGGTCTCCACGACCTGCGTCGGAGCCGCTGGGAGCGGAAGATGCGTCAAAGCTTGGACCCTGCCCTAGGCTCCTGGCCTACCTCCGTTTCGGTTCGGTGGTTGAGGTGGGTTCGGGTCTAACTACCGAACCGGAGGTGGGCCCGGAGCCTGGCTGGGCTGGTCCACCGTACCGCTTCGGTACACTGGACCTGACGTTGCACCGGCAACTCACCGTGTCGAAGACACCGTACTTCAGAGGGTGGCAGTGGATAAATAGGGCGATGAAAGTGTTGACCCACACCGATATCACACAGAAGAAAGGACACTGCCACTTTCCGAGAAAGTGATTGGAGACAGTGGATTCTTGGGGTCATGGTGTTTGAAGCGGCGACATGAGCCTTCCTCCAAAATGCCGCACGCTTTGCGTGAAACACATGTAAAGGGCAGATCGTTTTTTATTCCACCATTGATCGATAGAGGGTACTACCTTTGATTTTGCTTGTGGTGTTTTGGCCAGAGTTCAATGTTTCAAGGAAGGAATCAATACCAGGATGGGTTTCAGACATTGCTTGGGAATCTGAGCAAAGTCGACCCTGACCCCCCTAGACATAGATAGTTGCTGCTGCATACAGTGGTTTCAGAGTAAATAGCACCACCTCCTAACATCTCCTAACTATAAATATATAGTTATAGATAAATGCCCTTAAATCGGGGTCCCATTGAACTAAATGTAACTACCTTTTGGGAATTGTGCCATCTTGCTTCAAAGCGTGGGAAGATCTTGTTCCTTCAACTCCTGCATCCCTCCACTCCCGCGGTTTGAAGCGTCGCGCCCATCTCAAGGTGGCTTTGAACATCTCGGCACGTCTGGGCTGGTCGCGCTTCATCCTGATCCAATTCACCAAGATGCTGAAAGGTGCAAGACTTTTACCTTGCGGTGAAGACGAAAACAACATGGATCCAGGGACCCCCCCCCACGTCGGTGCAGCGTGAGAACGAGACCTGTAGTCGGACGACCCGGGTGCCAAAACATGCCATTCCGTCACCACAGGGTCCATAGGATTGTTGATTGGGATGTGATTGGGATGTGTCCATGTGGCAGATCAAGGTGGGATGAACACCGAAAACTCTTGCGATGCCGCGGGGACGTGCAATTCTGCTTGAGCCCTGGAGTGGCACCGAGAAAAGTGAACCTGGGCACCTGGAGTTTCCAAGTAACTCGGAAAATGTTTATTTTTTTTTCAAGATAGTCCAAGTAATAGTTTTTGTTTAGGTCATGTCCAACCCATTGGACTTCGAGTACCAGTCAGTCGGGTACCGAGTATATGTCCCTGCTACCTGGTACCAGCCTGGTACCTGGTTTGGGTGGAGGCTCACGTCCCCGAGTCCTTTTGAGGGGCCGCCCCGAGGCCTGGCAAACAGGCAGACTCATCCAGGAGTCATCCTTCCTTGATTGACGTTCAATACCTGGAACATCCAAGGGGTGCCGAATGGAAGCTTTTGACTAGTGTGGGGTAGTCCATTGGATACCCCTTGGATGGTCCTGGAGTCCTGGTAGTCTTTTGTTTGGCTTTGAAACATGTAGTATATGTTTAACATCCAGCAATCACCTGCTGGAACCATGGATTCTCCCATTCTGATGATGTGCGGCTGGATTTCAAGGCCATCTTCATCTCTCTTGTTGCCTAATATTGAAGGAAGACTTCAAGTTGATAGGAAGGACCTGGAAGACAAAGTGATGGTGATTGAGGCTGCAGTTGTGTATTGCTTGCAGGTAGTTGATGTTGTAGATGTCTTTCTTCCTCCGGGGTGACTCCGGTCTCGCCGGACGGTGAGTCGTCCGGACAACGAAACCCCTTCACCGGTCGTACGCCACGCCAGTGGCAGGTGGCCCCACTGCGATGGCCATTTTTGCACCCACAGGGTGGAGCAAGTTTCACGACGAGCTGAAGATCTACTGTGGCTACTATCGGCTCCATGGAACGCAGAGATTATGGCCATGCAGAGGATGGACCCTTTGGGGGTGTTTTCGTTTGGGGTGGAATTTCTCCGCAGGGAGGTTCAAGTTATGAGAAGGTTTTTAGGGGGTGGATTGGCTCAGAAGGACCCATCTTGGAGGACCCATTGTAGGATAGCTTCCTGCATGAAGGACCCATCTTGGTGTTTGGTAAGTAGGAAGCTGTCGGCTGAGTTGCCCAGTGGCTCCGGTGCTTCGGTTGAGTCCGAGATCTTCGGGTTTTCGGACCGGACGAAGGGAGGCGATGCTGCATAGCACAGGCCTCCGGAAGTACTTCAAACCCAACACATATTCCAGAGGTTACAATCTGATATGGGATGATAGTACCAATTTAGTTGTGCCTAATTGTGTTTATGGGCCCACCCAGACACATGCCTCTACGACTATGAAATCTGGTGCGACGACACCCCTGGCCCCTGGCCACCAATTTCGATCACCAAAATCAAGGCAATCTCCCGTCCCCTTCACCCTATAGGCACTTCAAAAAAGAAAACAAACAGAACACTAACGAACAGAACACCCAATGGTGCGGAAAAACCCTGGTGCGGCCACGTCGACCAGAGCTTGATTCACTCCAACGAAGGTCACGTCGACCTGAGGAGTTCCACACCACCGGTCGGGTCCCGGTCGGGTCCCGGTCGGGTCCGAGCGCTGGAGGCGCTGGGCATCCGAGGTCGAAGCTCGGGATGTCCAAGCAGAAATTTCCAGAAACTTCATGGATAGCAGGTTTACACACATTGGGGTGGTTGACCTGCGTTCATATTTAATATATATATATACATGATGTATATGATTCCATCCATGGAGTGTTTGGGATTGTTTTGTACTCAGGATGTAGGATTGTACCGGGTCAACCATCGGCTCTGTCGTCGAACGACCCAAGGTTCGTGCTAGTGCTGGCGCTGGTCGCTGTGAGAGCGATGATGTATCAGAGCTTCCAAGCGGAAGGTCCCCTGGCTCCAGCCTTCAATGTGTCGGCCATGGTCTTGATCCTTGGCCAGAAAAAATAACGGGAGCGGCTTGACCCAGAGTCAGCAAGCATACTCCACCAAAATGGATCCACCCTGATGTCTAGAGACTTTTTGTTGATGTCGGCAAGTGAACCTGAGAAGGTGGCAATGGATCCCTACTTGGGCCCTCCAAAGTACTCTAGAACATGGGAGAATGATGCAAACAAAAAACAGCTACAACTGCACTCACTCATTAGGCCCCTCGGCTGGCGGTCGGCTGGCTCATGGTTTCGATTGCACCGAAACCCGGAGCTTTGGGGTGGGGTCTCCCCTTGCATCCTGAACCGGGGATTCTGAGGCGTGTTGTTGATTTGCTTTTCTCCCAAGGCATTTCCGGGGTGGTTAGATGGCTCGAAGATGTTTTTTAGCTAGACTAAAATAGTAGTGGATGGTGGTGGTTTTGGATATGTATAGTTTATGTTCACTTTAGTTGGGATGATTGAGCCCACTAAACTCATATTTCCCAGTTGAAACCACCAAGCATGAATTACAGGCTATTGACGTCATGGGGTCGCTCACTTGTGAGCCTTGGCGTTGACCTGATGACCCAGCCCTGCCCTGAGACAATTCCGTGAAATCCACAGAAATCGATCCAACCAGTCCAACCAGGAATCAACTCGGATTGCTTAGAGATGACTTGAGATGCTTCTTTGGTTGCCTGCTATATCCTGCTATCCTCCGGTTCTTCTACAGGAGCGCAATCGACATAAATCGAAGGCGTTATTGTTTGAGCATCCAGCTAGTTTCTTCTGCATCATCATCTATTCAATCTATTCACTTGGTCTTTATCCACCAAAGGTGCATCCTCTTCCAGGGCTGGCTGCAAGCTGTTTTCCTACCAAAACCACATCCCTCCCCCACCAAGAACCAAAACCAATCGGAGGCAGTCGTCATGGCCTCCGGAAAAAACAAAAACGCCGGCAGGCAGTCGGTCCGGCATCGCTCCGATGCAAAGTCCGGATTCTGCTGTATTCCTGGAATCCAAGGATTCCAACTCTGATGCTCTTTGAGATTCTGGAAGATGAGATTGTCACTCGGGAGTTGCTGCCGGTCAACCCTGCAGGGGCAGGCCTGCTGAAAGTCAACACTGCAGGAGACCGTTTTTTGGTGCAGAGCTGAACTGGGAAGTCGACCATTTTTGGTGCCAAGCAAAGCGAACAACCTGACGGACGTCCTTTGTCCTGCAAGGTTTAGAAGGGATTTCTTAGTAAACTACTAGGCAAAGGACCTATGGACAGCTAAGACCAATCAAGGGAAGGATGTGCGATGTTTTATCTCGTCAGCTGTCCCCATCAGATCCCGTGACCGGTGACAGAAGACACGAGTCCTCCCGAGTCCTGCCGTTGGTTGGGAGGGTTGATCGACGGCAAATGGTTTGTTTGGCGCTTTTTCAGCGGCCCCTCTCCATAGTAGCAAGAAGCTACGAACGGAACAAAGGGCATCGCGACTCGAACGGGGCAAGGACGCTACTAGTAGTTCCTGGCCATACTACTAGTAGCAAGAAGCTAGTATGTTAGGACATCATGTAGACGAACGGAGTCATCCACTCAGCACGACTAGTGCTTTAGTGCTTTTGCAAGGTAGGAGCATTTGGTCTCCAGTTCATTCATGGTTCACCCACTATCCAACCTGAACCGCAGGCTGAATGTGGTCGCTCTGGGGTCAACAAAATTTGACCCAAATTTGTTCGAAACACAAGTCAGATGGTGCTTTTCCACAGAAAGAAAAACAAACTCAGCACAACACAGGGAATGTGATGCCAGAGCAAAAGCGATTTGGGATTGGATCATAGTGTCATTCATGTCTAGTGAGGAGACAATGCTGATCCAGCGCAGCTACTCACTTTGGAGCATTTACTATGCGTTCCGGAGACACCTGCCAACAATGACCACACGTGGGGGACGCAGCGATCGGGGTGAGGCCCTGCCTTGTTTGTGCCAAAGTTTCAGTGGGTTCAGAATTCAGAGGACTCTTTTTGGAGAATGGGCACACATATACCACGATAGTGCAAAGGGTGGATTGTAGCCCCCCCCCAGACTGTTGTCCAACCATCCTTTGGGTGGTGCTGTTGCAGTGCAGTTTCTTGTTTGGCTCAGGTTCCATCTGGCAGGCACCACATGGGCAACTTACTGTTCTTCAATGGTCGAAGAGGGTCTCGAACAATAGCCCCACACAGTTTGGCTGGCAAGCCTTTATTTTTGAAGTGCAAAAGTCTTCCCTAACAAACGTAAAGGATCCACAGACCAGAAGGTCGCCACCCTCCTTGCCATCATCCTGAAGGTCTCACATGTTCAGCCTCCACCAGCACCAGGGAATGGAAGTGAGAATGCATGGACCCAGCACAAGCTGCTGGGCGAAATTGTGTCCCAAACCTACCAACAGCGATGTGGGAGGACGGTCTTCCAACTAGGAATCGTGTCCAACCTCAGTCGTGACCAGGAATGACCCATGGAAAATGTCGGAGCTGGAGGCATCCGGCAAAAGGTGCGCGGACCCGGGAAGTTGGGGCAACTGCTGGGTTTGCCAAGGGTCCGGCGCCATGTTTACATCGGTGCATTCCGTTTGGTTGGAGCTACCGCCTCAGTCACTGCACAGATCGTAGTGGGACAATGGCCCACAGCCTCGGACGCCCAAACTTGCGCTTGCTTTGCCTGCCAAACTTGGGAATAGTGGTCACTCATGTTCTACATCTTGATGGAGAGTCCGAACTACCTGGAAATTCCAGAGTGGCCTAGAAAATTGGATTCCAGGTACATAATTACTGTAGTGTTGTGGGCTTGTTGGTCGTTGTTAGACGTTATATAATCGTAACCTTGGCATCCATAAGTGACCCAATTTACAGGCCTCGGCCTCAGTGACCTTAAAGGAAGGGGTTCAAAGGTAAGGTCAGTTCGTGTGGAGTGAGGCAAACAGACTTGTGGAGCGTTCCCTCATTCGTTCGAGGCAAGCTGAGTTCAAGGAGGAAGCCCTTCTCCCTGTCAACAACCACTTGATTGAACATATCATATATCCATCCCCATGTATGGACGGAATAGGTACATACATTTCCCCCATTGTGACCCCAATGCTAGTAGCTATTCCGGAGGACTTGTCAGAGATGTCGGGAGGACGATGTTCTGCGGCGCCAACTTGGTGGACTGTTAAGTCTACCAAGCTGGCAACCTGCACCGGAAATTCCAAGGTCCAGGTATTGTTTGACCCAAACAGGTACCACAGGATTCTTGCCCCACCACCAATTATAATAGGCTTGACCGAACAACAATTGTTGTACCAAGGATCCTACCAAAACGTCAACTGTTTGTTTTGTTGAATGGGCAGGCCCCCTGAACCGTTAACACAACCCCATCTCCCAAGAGTGCATCCCACGAAACCGGGACGAGGACCAGTTACAGATGGCCCAGTCACATTCAAAAAGTGATCTGGCTTCTATAATTTAATTTGGCTTTGTATAATTTGGCTTCTTCAGTCAGTACGTGACCAATCTTTGGCAAACTGACCTTTCCTGCCTGTGAACAGGTCGGTCATTTTGGGCGCCGTCACACGCGCGCTCAAACCTCCCAGGATCACCTTCGGTCACACGCTCCTTCGAACCAGGTCCTTCACCGATGTGATCCGATCCCGTCAGGGAGTTTCCCCCCCCGCCTTTTGGGCGTCTAAGACGGAAGACCAGAACAGATGAAGACCGACCCGTGGGACACTGCCAGTAATGCCAAAGAGTTCAGAAGATCTGATGCGTGTACAGATCCACCCTCCTGATGGGAACATGTTTGATGTAGGCGAGTTGTGAGGGTTCGATCGTACCAAACGTGGGAAGGTGGCGCGCACTGGGTAGACCCATTTGGGGGAGTACGCAACCGGTACCATCCGGAGAGAGTAATCTCAGAGAGGCCCGAAAACAGACCTTGATCGTCCTAGTAACTAGCTCCAGGTTAGTCGTCGAGCCCCTCAGTTTTCTTCTCCTTTCGGTGGGAATAGCTTTTGATAGGTCTTTTTTCATCCAAAGTACTCCCACCAACCTCAAAAAAGAACTCGTCCAAAACTGGGGCGTGCCCGTTGCCCTCTCCTTTGTTTGGATCCTTCACCCAATTGCCCGTGCGGCGTGAACACCTGAGGTCAATGATGACCTCAAGCCTGAGGAGGACTTCTTCGAGTCTCTTGGGCAGGTGAGTTCGGACACCCGACCTGGAAGCTGCTTTTTGCTGAACATGGCAGTCCTATGGTTCGACTTGGCAACGGGCAGTGGAGTCTCTCCAAAATTCCCACTTAGAAGCCAACCCAAACGTGAAAACAACCTCCACTTAGAATGCCTTCCTTGCACACAAATCGCAGGAGAATCAGTTCGGACGCTCCGTGAGGCAATGATGGTTTGTCTCATCTTTGGGGTTCTTTCAAGACATAAGACTGCTTGACTGCTTGGTGCCGGAACGATTGCTGGTTTGCCCCACAAGATTGGGTCCCACAGGCCCTAGGGCTAGGGCCGTTGAAGACCCATTGGAGTGCATCATGGGTTTCGTCAAGAGACCTTTCTGACAGGAACTTGATAGATCTACTCACCATGATTGGGGGGGTCTGGTGGCACCCGAAGTGATGCCACTGGAGGCTTTGAGCGTAGATGCTGGTTGAAGAATGTGTTCTCAGGGTGATGTTTTCGACAGTTTATGTAGGCTTGGAGGGGCCAAAAACCTTCTCATGGCTGCGAGCCTCACTCTCTTCCCGCTCGCGCCACATCACCCTTGGGAGCCCCACAGGCTAGACGAAGAGGTACTTGGATGGCTAAAAAGCAGGGGACCCCATGAAAAACGTGGCGTGTTCAAAAACATGTGCAAAGAGCGGCTGACGTGGTGTTTTTGGTGTCCACCAGCAACTGAGGCTTGAGCCACAGGAGCCGTGACAGCGACACCGCAACCTCCCGCCGTGACGGTGCAGACGGCAACATGGGGCTCCAGCATGAACCGCCCCTTGGCTTCGTCCAATTCTGGGCATCGATGGCCAGTGCTCTGAATTGACAGAGCTTGTAGCGAAAACCATCATGATTTACATTGATTTAATCTGTTTGAAACATCATGGAACATCATGGAACGTGTCTGTTTAGGGTCATGTCCCATGTTCTAACATACTTTGGAGGGTCGAGGTACGGAATAGATAGAACTTAGAAGTGAAAGCCTCACAAATCTCTATGATGATTCTGTTGGTCGTCACTGTGGTGTTAGCATTGCATCTCGCACACGCTCCCGGTTCGCCCATGGCGAAGATCACCCCACGCTACGACAAACTTGGCCCCATGCTAATAGCCATGGCCTCGAACCTAATAGCAATGGCCTCCAACCTAATCCCTGGTGTATCCGGGTATGCTCCTAGGTCTTTCTCAACCAACACTCAAGCACTCTGAAGCTGCATTTTGCTGAGCGGTCAACTACGGGCAGTTGATTTTAGTGCATAGGTGATCTATGTCGTTTGCCCTGTTCACAACTGTACTAGATATGTGTTTAGAGCCTTCTCTACTTCTGAGATAAATGAGCAGGTTGATTTGTGTAAGGATTCTCTCGGAACTTGCAGGGAAAAAAGATCTAGAAATCCAGGAGGTCCAGAAAGAACATCTCCCACAATACCGGTTTTTCAGAGTTTCCCCTTTTTTTCTGTGTCTCGTAATTTTTGGGGATATATATATATATGTATATGGATATGATATCGTGGATATATAATAAATAGACCACATGAGGCAACTCGAAAGGTAAATTTGTGGAGCCTCTCCAAGGACAGAAGACACAGCAAACATACTGGGTTTGCTCTTCGAATGCAGACTGTTTGAAGACCACACATGTTGGTTGTGAATAGATCTGAAAGGTATCGATCAGTGTGGGTGTAATCAGCTAATCACTATGACTTCCACATCGATCGTTGCCAAGTTTAGCAAGACCGACAGTCTCAGCTTGTCAGTCTGTCCTGGTACCTCGGAAAGTAAGCACCTGGAGTCTCCAGTTACCATAGAAAATGAGACCAGACCGGGTCAAAACGAGGGACCGAACCTTTTGGGCATCTGTTCGGAACAGGGACCTCGCAGCCCGGCTGTTTCACGTCCCGACAGATCTCGAGTCACTGGGGGCCGTGTCTGGCGTCCAAAGCCATATATTGGACCTGTCTCAAAGCCAGTCAAACTTAGTATGTATACCCATTCCGCAGTCTGATCAGACTTTTCAGAATCAGAAGAATGGTTTGACTAGGGGACCACTAGGTGACCTGATCAAGGAATACTTTTACTTCACGAAGGAAAAGCATAGTCGAACTGGACTTCTAGTGATGTCTAAAGTATATACCTGCACCCTTCAAACTACCCTAGAAAATGGAACGTGCCGCATGCCACTATTAAAGAAAATTGGACATGCCCCTATAGTTAAAAACACAATAGGCATATACAAATTTGTGAGGTAGGAACTGAGACTCCAGGTATAATTCCACCTCCTTCCACATCATCAGTGGATGGTGATTCGTGGATCCAAAATTGCGTGGACTTCCAGAAATTTGCTACTAGGAGCGATCGGACGCTACTTGAGGATTCGCTACTTCTGTGCACAGACTCTGTGGTGAGGTGGTTCCAAGGAGCAAACCGATCACCCAACTGGGGGAAGAGCGGTTTTTGGACCCTCCAAGGGAGAAGACCGTCTCCCTGGGCATCAGAGAGAGTTACCTTTGGGCGCGCTTGCGGAGTTGGTTCGGTCAATCGCGGGCCTTGAACTCCTCACCTGCCCTCCATGGGCTTCGCGAACTGCCCTTCATGGTGCACGCGCCTCGGCGTCCGTCGTTTCGAGGGGCCACGGTGCCATGGTGCCATCTTCGGTCCCCGCGGTTTCTGCTGTCCCGAACCTGGTCGATGGATCCACCCTCAACTACTCTATACTAGGGTCATTCCAATCGGGTGAGCCTCCAGGAATGGGCGAAGGTTTACCGATCTAACATGGCAAGTATCTCCCCATCCCATGAGGCTCTTGATGTACCATCTTACATGAAGCTATGACTGGCACCCTCCCCAAACACCAACCCCAAACACTTTGCGCCGAGACAGGCATCGGTTGATTTTTCGATGTGTGGAGACTTCCGTTGAGAGGAAGGGACCAAGACCTCAGACCTGTACGACGAACCAGCACAACGTATACAGGTACGACGACTGTATTACTACATGTGTACTCATTGCCTGGTCCCCGCTTCTGGGGAAGACCGTTGTTCTTTTGTTTCGGTTCGAACGGACAGCAAATCCGTTCGAAGTTTGCTCCAGGTCTGTAGATCTCGGTGGGGTGATGGCCAACCTGAAAGCCAGAATGGTATGCTCCCATAGGATCTGATCATTCAGGGCGGTCAAGGGGTCAAGGGATTGGGACATTAAAAAAACAGGCCCAGGCCCTGTGGAACATCTTTGCTTTGCTCTCCTGTTTCGTGAAAGGGCCATCAATAATGCATCAATTATGGCAGGATCTAGCTCAATCTTTTGAACAAGTTTTGGGTGTGCAAACCAGACCGGAACTGCGACTTGTTGCCACCTTGCGACAAGGGTGGGTACCTCCAACATGAGGAGTTCGGTTCGGACTGCAAGGAGGACCTATCCTTGCAGTTGGGTGCCAGAGGGACCACCCTCCGACGTCCCCTCCCCGTCCGGTTGCGATTCCCCCACCAAAATGCGTTGTCCCCCGAACGCTCAACTGGGGAATCCCTACTTAGAGGCCTCCCAGGTTCATCACGGCACCGCAGCCGCTCCAGTTGAGCTTCATCGGCATCGTGGGAGAGTTCACCTCGAGCTTGCTGGGCTTGCTGATCGGTGCCGGCTACATGCGTGGCTTGTGTCCGGAGCCGCTCCAGGGCCCTGAGCGCGTCGTAGGACTTCTTTGGTGGCAGACGCCTTTGCCCTGCTAGGCCGCCAGGCTGGAAAGCAGCTACCTGGCCAAGCTGAGCTTGATGAGTGAGAAGACGGAAACAGACCCCTGCTCCAGTCGATGAGCTTTAGATCTCTTTGTTGCCCAACAGATGCCATTCATTACAAAGCAGACTTACATGAAACGAGAAGAGACAGGATAATATAACCTTGACATACCTTGACCCTCCAAAGTATATAATACCGATATGATATGACCCCATAAAGAACAGGTACGACTGTACCCATGATCCGACATACTTTGAGACCCGAGTTATATTACGAAATGCGTTGTGCATTGGTTGTCACCACTTGTTTAAGAATGGTGTAAACTTCACTGTAAACCAATGTAAACCAAACTGTTGTGGTGGTGGTGGTCGTCGTCGTTGTTGTCGTTATCGTGGTTGTCATTGTGGTTGTGCTTGTGCAATGGTTGCTGTTGTTGTTGTTGTGGTTGTTTTGGTTGTTGTTGTTGTGGTTGTTGGTAGAAACAAAAACAGCCACCCAACATAATTGTCACATGTTGCAACTCTGGAAGTTCAATTGGGCATGGTTAGGGATACGGTTTGAGGGAATGTTGGTTTCGTAAGCTGGACTTGCTGGACTTGCTTTACTGAAGTCTGGGCTTGTCCATTTTTGATCCTTTTTGTGTGTTTTTTTGAGGTGTTGTTCTGGGGGGTCCAAAAAAACAACGGGGCTGCAGTCTTTGTTTTTAGGAGGGGTTAGAGAAAACAACACTTTTTGAGGGGCGGGTTCAAATAGCAACCACAGGGCTTACAGTGTTTGTTTCTAGGCTGTGGTAGAGGTTCCTACAGATAGTCGTAGAAGTAGTAGTAAT